CTTCTTCGGAGGGCCTGGTCAGGCTCCACATGCTCCCTCAACCCCAGTCTTAAGGCCAGAGGAAGCGACAACTTTCTTCTCTGGGAAAGTGTTGTGGGGCTCAGGCGCTTGGGGGTTTTCAGAGTCAACCGTCAGAGGCGAGGGAGTTTCTCCGCCGGCAGTGGCAAGGGCTCTCAGGGCGCAGTGAGCAGACCGCTGCGGTCTGCAGGGAAAATGCCGACGGTGTTTATTTTTCACCTGAGCCTGCAGGAAGTTGTGGGGGGGCTCTGAGGAGGGGAAGGGGGGCGGCCCAGCCAGGCCTAAGCTCAACCTCAGGGCAGAGCAGACCTGCCTCAGGAGTCCCTCCACCTGCCCAGCCCTGTCCTTGGGCCGCTGCCTGGCTGCAGCCTGCTCTGGAGGAGGCATGCCAGGACACCGCAGTGAAAAGTTTCCAGCCATGGGCCAATGGGAATATCCCAGAAGGACGAGGAGCACCTCTGGGATGGTAGATTTTGAGTGCGGCATGGGAAGAGCAGTAAGAGCCGTGTAGCAGCTCCTGGCCCCTGGCCCCAGGCTCTGAGTCCTAGACCCATCCTGGAGTGGGGGGGGAGGATGCAGAGATTCCCGGGGACGCTGCAGGCAAAGGCAAAGAGCAGGGGTCCTGGTCAAGGCGTATGGACTGCCGTTGAGTCTTTCATTCATTTACACACCCCTCCGTGCTGTGAGCACTTAATGAGTATCCAGCTCTGTCACTCTGCCTTCAGAGTTAAAAAAGGTGGGGTTGACCCTGGCTAGGGTGGCTCAGTGGGTTGGGACCAGCCTGCAAACGGAGGGGTTGCCAGTTCGATTCCCAGGTGGGGCACCGGCCTGGGTTGTGGGCCTGGTCCCCAGTAGGGGGCGCATGAGAGGCAACTACACATTGTTGTTTCACTCTGTTTCTCCTTCCCTTCTCCTCTCTCTAAAAATAAATAAATAAAATTTAAAAAAGAAAGAAAGAAATGCTCAGAGCCTGGTGGGGAGAATTGACCCAGGCCTCCTGACCTTGGAGGCTGGGCAGTCACCGTCGGGGGAAGCGGCGGAGGGGCGCTGCCATCACTGGGTCCCCCGTGCACACACCAAGCCTCAGACAACCCCACCCTGTTGTCTGGGCAAACTGGCCCTGGGACAGCCTTGTGCTGAGTCCATGGAGCGGGACGTTCCACCGGCGGACGGGGGTGTGGGGCGCTGGGCCCTGTGCCAGCTAGTTCCCCCTGGCTACCACCACCAGGCATGGAGGGGGCTGGGGAGTGAGGCTGAAGGGCAGCTGGCACAGATGTGGGAAAGACTGGTCAGGTCCTCGGTGCCCTCCCTGCTGGCCTGGCCTCCTCAGGGCCTCTGGCTGCCGGCAGGCCCTCTGCTCCCCCTGCCTACCTGGCACCTCTTCTTTGTTTTGCCTGCAGACTCCTGTTTAATGAGGCTTTTCCCCAGTTCCCAGGGAAGGCTGGTAGACAGGGTGAACCCTTTGTCCACCAGGCAAAGCCTCACACCCCACCCCACTGGCCATCACCCACATACCTGCTGGGCCGGAGGCTGGAGGCTGAGCTGAATCCCTCTGTTTCCCAGGTCTGGCCAAGGAGGGTCACCTCTAGCCCTCCATCAGGGCATCCTGGCCAAAGCTAGCTCTTCTGGGGTAGGGGCGATCCAGCTGAGAAACCACTGAGGAGCCAACACCCGCATCCTCCCCTGGCCCTGCTCCAGGCAGAGTGGAGCTCTGGGACTGTCTTCCTGCAGCTGGCACTGTGGACCCCTGGCTCTGCTGCTGAGGTTTCCCAGGGCCAGAGGCGCTTACCTGGCAGCCAGGCGTATGGCCGTGAGGGCCACGGTGCCAGAGCTGCTGAGCACCAGGGTCTTCTCCAAAGCAAGAGCTGAGACTCAACAGTCCCCTGTGGCCCAGACGGACCTGTGGAGGGTGTCAGTGCCACCTGGTGGGCCAGGGCTGCAGGCGTGTGGCCCTCAGGCAGTAAGGGCCCTCAGTCCCAGGTTCCTGAGGCAGAGGACCCTGAGGCTCAGTCACCCTGGCTGACACTGGCCGACACTGTCCTAGGAACCTATGGATAAAGTCTCCAGAGGCTTCCAGGAAGCTTCCCACCTGCATGGGCCCTCAGCTCCTGTTCCCAAAAGTTCTAGGAGACGAAGCAGGACCATTGCATCTGCGACCAGTGAGGTAGCCAGGGCTGGCACACTCATTCTCACTTTATAAGGGGCAGACTGGCCCAGGATCCCACCGTGGAAAGGTCAGCGAGCCTACATCTGGGCTTCCCAACTCACTTCTCATCGCAGCCCACTTGAAATCACCGCTGGAGTAACTACAGAGGGAGACTGGAGGCTGCAGCGCGTGGGAAGTCCTGGGCACAGTGAGCAGGAGGACAGAGCGAGGGGCTGGGGGCCTGGGCCTGTGGAGCTTTGGAGGCCCAGGTGAAGGCCAGTAGAGGCTGGAGGCAGGGGAGTGCAGGGACCTGGTTTGGGGGACTGGCTAGGGGCGGGAGGTGGCTGCAGTCATCCAGAGAAACGTGGCTGTGGCTTGGACCAGGAGGGAGGGGGAAGTGGTTGGACTCTAGGTGTATTCTGAGAACAGAGCCACTAGGACTTGCCAACAGAGTGGCTGTGGGGTGTGAGGGGAAGGAAGAGGCAAGGATGACTCCGAGGTATGTGATCCGGGCCACCAGGAGAAGGGGCTGCCGCTCATTGAGGCAGATGCAGAGGAGCATTCAGCAGAAGGCAAAGGTTCTGCCTCGGCCATCCTGAGTCGGGGTAGCGTTTTAGGCCTCGGACTGGCGTCCACGAGTGAGCCTCTGGAGAGGGGAGTTCCTAGGAGAGGTGGGCACTGGAGACACACTCGTGGAGCCATCAGATGAAGGCCCGTAAAGCCAGGAGCCCAAAGGACAACACCCTGGGTGGGGGCCAGGGCCCAGCCAGCACATGGAGAGGGCGAGGAGACAGAAGCAAGGCTGAGTAGGAGTAGCCCGTGAGGACGGAGGAACATTGGCGAGTGTGGTGTTCTGGAAGCCTAGCGAAGGACCCATTTCAAGGAGTAGAGAGAAATCCATCATGTCCACTGCTGCCAAGAGGTCAGGTCACGTGCAGACTGAGAACTGACCGCTGAGTTCAGCAGCATGGAGATCATGGAGACCCTGATGAGAGGAAACCTGCGAGTAGCAAATAACTCCCCTAGCTCGCCCAGGAAGCCTGACCTTGGAACAGCAACAGGGCGGTGACAGCGCCAAGGCCTGGGGACGGCAGGGTCCTGTCCTTGCCCTCTGGCACCGGTGGTGCTGCCAGTGGGCTGCCTGGCATGCCTGCATCTCAGCCAGCCCCCTGCCTGGCGTCCTCAAGCCGAGTGTGTGGCCTGTGGGCGGCCCAGCAGCAGAGGGCAAGGGAGGCGCGACAAGGGGCTCTAGGCGGACAGAGGGCTTTCTGCGCGCCCCTTCCTCGTCACCCGACACTGAGTCGAGCTCTTGGGTGTTGTCTGGCTTGCTCCTCGCACCTCACAGCCTTCAGAGCATCTCCATCTTGTAAGGAGGCGGATGCTCAGATACTGCAGTGAGTTCTTGGAGAGCACATGTGTCAGAACTAGGGTCTGCCCCTGGCCAGCCTGCAGCTCCTCAAGTTCATAGTGGAGAGCCTTCTGAGGGGCTGCAAAGGGAAGCTCACCTGCCCAAGGAGGCCAGGTGGGCGCTGGCCAGAGGGGAGGTGTCGGGCTCCAGGAGGGGCTGCGGTGCCACATGCACTCCAGTTGCAGGGGAGCGGCCACCACTGCTGGGACGACAGCCCCTGTCTGCCCGATGACAAAAGGAAGGCTGATCAGCCCTGTTTGTCAGGCTGCTCCCCCAATCCCTGAGGGGGAGGGTGCAGCCAATAGCTCGGCCTCAAGCTCCCCTGGGGCAGGTCGTGGGAGCCCGTGCCCACCTGGTAGCCTCACCTTTTGGCTACCTGCAGTTCATACTCTCCCTTCTCTGTAGCCTCACCCTGGACCTCCAGCAGCCAGTGAGGGACCATGGGCCCCAGCCATTACACAGAACAGAAAACTGAAGCCCAGAGATGTTGTGGAGTCTGGTTAAACGCAGCAAGTGGGAAATTGCACCCACAGGGTGGGAAGGAGCCCAGGCAACGACCTCGTACGACCGTCTCACCCCAGAGAGGCCACTCATCTATGCTCAGACAGCGGCACCTGCGCCCCTGGACTTAGTGGGTGGGAGCCAAGCCTCAGTGCAGACGTCTCCAGGGCCGCACAGATGTGCCCTGAGGACAGGCAGAGCGGGGCCTCGGCCCTGAGCAGCAACTCTCTGTGCCTGGGTCCCATGGGGAGCCCCCTTCTCAGCCTGAGTCACCTCATGACACACTGGTGTGACTGGTGTGAAAAGTAAGAGTCCTGTGGTGCTGAGGAAACAGGAAGTGTGGGGTTGGGCGGGTTGGCCCTGGAGGGAGCCTGGCCCCTCCCCCGAGTTAGAGGGTGGAGGGGACTCTCCTGTGTTCCCAAATTCTTTTAAGTCTGAGACAGGGGGTGGGACAGGGGGTCAGACTCAGGATCCCTAGTCTGGGGGCTGCAGCAGGAAAGCAAGCTCCTAGGGCAGGGCAGGTCCTCTGACCTTGTCCTGATGTGTATGAGGCTAGAGGCTCTGAGCAAGTCAGAGGGCCTCTGAGACGCTGGGGGCCCTCTGAAGCACAGAGGCAGGAAGAATCCCCCGGACAGGGAGGTGCGCCTCCTGGAACTGAGTGCACAGAAAGACCAAGAGGCTCTCTGGGAGGTGCGATGGCTGGGGCCAAGCCTGGGGGTGGGGGCAGGAGGGCTGGACCACTGGACACAGCCTGGCTTGAGTGGTGCCCCCTCCTGTGAGCCTGTGGTTTTGACCGCCCCCATTTTACTTGACAGCTGGGCTGCCCACACACACAGCTAATCAGGGCTCTGCCTGCACGGAGCCCAAGGCCCGTGCCTGTCTCCCTCGGGTCCCTCCCTACATTCACCCGTCCTCCTCACTTTTCAGCACAACAAGACCAGCCAGCCTGCCCATGGCGTCCCCCAGCTCTCCCCTCTCTACGAACACTTCAGCAGCCCACACCCCACACCTGCACCAGCTGACATCAACCAGAAGCAAGGTACAGACCTGGGGTGGGGAGGGGCCCAATGAGACAGGGGGCTGGCCCTTTTTACAACTGGAGAACATTGGGCTCTGCAAAATCGGGAACCCCTCGCCCCCCGCAAAGTTCCAGAAGCCTGGATCAGGGGGCCAGAGGATACCAGAGGGTTGGGAGAGGTGGGGCCCGGTGGAAATCTGAAGGCTTCAGGTTGAGGTGGGAACCTCCCAGTGCAGTATGAGAGCAGGCGTCTGTGTGAAGCTGATAACTATAAAACTTGCAGGCGCTTTCCCTCCCCCAGTGAGAAAATGGAAAGTGGTGGTTGTGATGGCTGATTCACCTCGGCCTCAGGCAGTCATTCTGAAATCAGCCACTGTCGACTGTGGGAAACCTGCTGACTCAAAGGGGGGTGAGGGGTGGTTTGGAACTCTGGCTCCACAGGCCAGGTTACCCCAGACTAGGGGCCCTGGCAGAGAGACTCCAGTTGCAGACTGGTGGTGGCGAGGCCTGGTGTCCCATTCCAGAATGGCTCCAACTCTGCCAGTGGCCTGCCAGTGGCCAGCCAGTGTCCTTGGGCATACCGCCCACCCCCTCCGCCCTGGGTTCCCTAGCCTGTGGGTGAAGTACTGCTGCCACGCTGGGGTAGTCCTGAATGGAGCAGTATGTCTGGTACTCTTGCAAGGCGGGTGGGATCTCAGAGGCCCCCCACAGGAGGCTCTAGGGTGCAGGAACTAGCTAAAGGGGCTTCTGAGTCAGGCTACTCACTCAGCCCCTCTCCACTGCAGTTCACAGGCCTCTGCAGACCTCTGACCTCTCTGGCTTCTACTCTCTGACCTCAGGCAGCATGGGACAGCTCCCCCACACTGTGAGCTGGTGAGTGTGGGCCTGATGGGAAAGGGGCACCTTCTGCTGACTGGACCCAAACCTGCCCTTCTGTTTTCCTCCTCCATCCTGTGCTGAGCACCGTCGCCAAATCTGTATAGATACCAGGGCTGGCCAGCAGCTCTAGCCATTCCCCTGGTAGCTTGGCATTCTCCTTTCAGGAATACAGGAGATTAGGCTGTGGTCTCAGCCCTGTTGCCCTCGAACTCTGCTTCAGTGTCTGAGACAAATGAGAGAACCCTGGGCTGCCCAGGGCCATTATGAGTGAGGAAGAAAAGGGAGGCCTGAGCAGGGAGGTAACAGCAAGAATGGCCATAGCGAGGCTGTGGCTTCTCGGCCACGGGCAGGAGGATACTTCCTATTTGCCTCAATGCCTGCTGCTGGCTGGTCACTTCCTTGGCTGAGCAGCTTGAGGGGCAGTGTCTCTTCCTTGCCCCTATGGTGGCTACTTGAGCCCAAGCCCCTAGCCATGAAAAGCTGGCCTGGATGGACCCTAAGTCAGCAGGCCCAACTATGGGGCCAAAGGGCCTGTCTTCAGTTGGAGTTGGTCTAGCAGGCTAACTGGCCCTTTGTCAGCATCTGCAGTGTGAGACTTGAGCAGGTCTCAGCCTCTCTGGCCTGGGGCCGTCACTTCACAGCAGGAAAGCCTGGCTTCCCCAGAGGGCAGGGTAGGCCAGAGGCCCAGCCTAGGAGCCTACCTGTCCCTTTGCACTGGCCCTTTACTCATGCGTCCCTCTATGTCTAGATTCTCTTTGAACAAAGCCACTCTGAAAATCAACCAGGGCTACTCCCACAAGTACCCCCAGGTTTGAAGTGTGCCAGGCAAGGATCTGGGCACCAGAGCAGCACTGCTGGCGCTGGCTGATCCTAAGGCCCCCACCCTCGCAGAACTCAGTCTGTGCCACCCAGACAAGGGGCTAGCCAGTGGCAAGGTTCTGTTAGCAGGGCTTTGACTAGGGACTGTAGGAACCCAGGGGGCACCTCATCTGGCTCGGGATCCCAAGGGCTTTGGGGAGAGAGGGTCATTTAGGGTAGCCAGGGGCTGACGCAGGCAAAGTGGGACTGGAGCACAAGCCTGATGGTGTCAGTAGAGGGTGCAAAGGCCCTAGGGCAGGTATCAACTCTGTACTGACAGGGACATTTCATTTCAGGAGACAAGGCTGGCAGGGACCTGGGGGCCCACTGAGCCGGCTCCTGGGAGAGTGGCCATTTCTACTCCTGAGGCAGCAGTACAAGCCTGTAGAAGAAAACAGGTGCAGCACAGGTTGCCCTCTGGTGGCAGATGCTTCAAACACACTGGAGTGGTCTAAGCACAAGCTGATTTGCCTCACAATCTAGGGCCAGGCTGGAGCGTGGAGGGAAGTCCTTCCCCACTTATGGCCAGTAGCAAGACTGCTAACAGCTGTCTCTCCCAACCACAGGCCCAGCCCTCCTCTCTACCCCCTGTCCCCTTCCTGCGGATATAGACAGCACTTCCCTGCCCCCACTGCAGCCCCTGGCGCCCCCTACCCCAGGTGAGTCCCCTTCCCTGCAGCCAGGCTCCTGCTTCCTGTTGCCCAGGCTTCAGTGCCCACACAAGGCCATGCCCAGGTCACTGCTTGCCCTGTGCTAGTCGTTTGTCCATCCGTCTGTTTGTCATTCTGCAGCCTCTTGCTGCCCTGTGCCTAAGAATGAAGCCAGTGGGACTGCAAAAGGCCTATAAGCCCAGGCCACACTGCAACAGAGCACCCCAGAGCAGCCAGGGACAGTGCATGCACACACTGCTGTTCTGCATCCCTGCTGAGGGGAGGGCCAGTCCGGACTTTCCCTGAGCTCCGCCCAAGCTGAGGCAGCATTTTTACATGTCTCCAAGCTCTGGCTGGCTTAGGGACCCCACACCTGTTCAAGCAGCAAGGGGCAGAGTGGTATCCATAGGGACAGAAAATGAAGTGGGAGGTGTGGTATGGTGTATGTGTGTGTCCCTTTACTTAGCATGTATCTTTCACTGAGGGAGTGAGCAAAGTATGGAAGATGGAATTCAGCAGAGTTTTCCAGCACTGTGCAGCTCGCCGGGTAGGAGCACCAGCAGTTGAATGCAATGTGGGCATTGGGGAGGCCCCAAGGAGACCCCAGCCAGACCTGCTGTGTCACAGAGCTTCTTGGAAAGGGTTAAGATCTCCTGAGTGAGGGGGGGACCAAGGGAACATCAGTAGCTGGGGATGGCTGGGGTGGGAAGTGATGGGAAATGGGAAAAGATGGGGCTAAAATGTCAGCAGAGATGGTCAGCAGGGCTCTGGGCAGTGGGAGAATTTCAGCAAAAGCAGCCAGGAGCACTCGGGTGCTGTTAAAAGGTTGTGTGAGAGAGTCCTAGAGGAGTCCCATCAGAAGGGTGAGGAAGCCCTCAAGGCAGGCACAGGCTCATGAAGCTGAGCTGGAAAGGGCAGGTGACAAGGGGTGAGAGTCAAAAGATATTTTAGGCCTTAATTTAGTCATCACCTAAATGATGTATAAGTAGATTTTTGCAGTATTGTCTGTGTAATATGTTGGGAGCAAGTATTTGTAAGTGTCGGTGTTTGTATGTGGGCCAGTGGGGCTGGGATATCTGTTCACCTGTCCTCGTTCACTGTGCAGGGCCTCTGTGTGTCCCAAGATCTGGCCTGTGCACACCTGGCTCAGAGTTAACTCTCTTCCTGCTTCTAGGTTCACCCACCCATCCCTGATGCTAGGTTCTGGCGTACCTGGTCACCCAGCAGCCATTCCCCACCCAGCCATTGTGCCCGCCTCAGGGAAGCAGGAACTGCAGCCCTACGATCGCAGCCTGTGAGTGAAAAGGCAGATAGTGGGGAGGAGGGAGGAAAGCAGGTGAGCAGATCACAGGCTCCCATCTGTCCGTCGACCGGGATACACATTTCTTCTACTAGGCTGAAGACCTGCTGCCTGGAAGCTCCAAGGACTACCAGAGAAAGCCTCCGGCCAAACTGGCTTTTGCCACTGACCACTGTTTTTTTTTGAGCTTCAGAAGCAGAAGGGAGTAGGGGGGGTGGGAAACCAAGATTTACTTTAAGCCAAGATGGAAGTGGCTGAGAAATTCTTATACATGCTTTTCTTACTTAGTTGCAATATCCCTGTAAGGAACTAACTCTGTTCATCAATTTTGGAGAAGCTTAAAAAAAAAAAAGATTCCATTTACAAAAGTCAAAGTATCCATGCCCTTACCACATGCACTGGATATAGTAGAGGAGGGTGGTAGCATTAGGTGGGCATTGAGGGGGCTCCCAAGTGATCTGGGTGTGCATCCCTCAGGAAGACGCAGGCAGAATCCAAGGCAGAGAAGGAAACCAAGAAGCCAACCATCAAGAAGCCACTCAATGCCTTTATGCTGTACATGAAGGAGATGAGAGCCAAGGTCATTGCAGAGTGCACACTCAAGGAGAGTGCTGCCATCAACCAGATCCTGGGCCGTAGGGTGAGGCCACGGGCAGGTGGGCTGGCAGGGGTGGCCCCTGACCACCTTCATTCACCCTGGTGCAGCCTGCCCTGCTCACTCCCTGATGCACTCCCTCTGCACCCCCTTCCCTTCTGCAGTGGCACGCACTGTCACGAGAAGAGCAGGCCAAGTATTATGAGTTGGCCCGTAAGGAGAGGCAGTTGCACATGCAGCTATATCCAGGCTGGTCAGCGCGGGACAACTACGTGAGTGGCCAACAACACACAGTAGGGGATGGGTCAGGGAACCTTTCAGATTCCATAGCCCACGGCAGTCTCAGTAAGGAAAGCAGGACTACTGTCCCGAAGGCACAGAGGAGGGGAGGTGGTAGGCTGGAGGGGTCTGAGGCCTCCCACAGCTAGCTCAGAAGTGGGTGGGGCAAGGGGAGCTGCCGATAAAGGCAAGCCCAGGTCCTTTTTTCCACCCAGGATCTACCCCCACTCCATGCGGGGCTATTGCCCTATATTTGATTTGGGCTCATAAGCAGAAGGGAGGAAGGGGCCTGGAAGTCACCTCTTCCATTCAAAATGGAGACCAGTGTGGGAAAGAGGAGGAGCCCCTGATTGTCTCATGGTTTACCTAGCAAGAACTGCAGTCAAGAAATGCTAGGGTCCCCAGGTAGAGATTCTGTGCCTGGAGTCCAGTGTGCCAGTGGTAGCCAGGCTAGGCAGCTGACTGCAGCTATCCCAGCCACTCTCTCACTGGGGTTAGTGGCCACCTCCTAGATCTGATGATTCTCCCCCTTTGTTCCCTGCAGGGGAAGAAGAAGAGGCGGTCCAGGGAAAAGCATCAAGAATCCAACACAGGTGAGACCTTCCCTCAGCAGTAGTGAGGCTCCTCTCCAGCTCCCCACCTGACAAGCATCACTAGTCTGGCACAGAGGGAAGGGCCAAGTACTTAGCCACCAACCTTCAGTGCCTGGGCCCTGGGCTCTCTGGAAACACGGCCTGCACCTGGCAAGTCAGATCCCCACTTGAGGAACAGCTATACTAAGTCCTAGGGAAGACCAGCAGAAGCCAGTTCACATAGCCATGGTGTGTAGGCCCACCATGTTTGCTACCCTGTTGTGCTCATAGCTCACCTCTGCCAGGGGAAGTGAGTGAGGAACTAACTGTACACTCCACACTAAACCCAACACTGCATCCTGGGGGTTCTGAGGTGGACAGCCTGCTATCTACATAGAGACTGAGCCAGACCCCATGCCTACGCCTGTGGTCACACAGCCTGCTGGCTGGTGCCTGGCAGTTTACCCCCGCCCACCATTTTTCATGGCAGTGCTGTGTAGAGGATGGAGGGAGCCCACACTCTGCTGCGTGTCCTTCTGTGGGTGGATTCCTGTCCCAACTCTGATCCACATTCATGAATGACTTTCTTGGTTGTGCTGCTCCCCCACACTCCAACTGGGGCAGGGCAGGCTTCAGCCCTTTTTCTGAGGCTGAAAAATGGGTTTTATTTTGCATCTGGAAAAGTGTGTAGAGTAGGTTTCAGCCACAGCACAGAGGGTATGGGTTAGGCAGATAGGGTGTTGGCAAAAATGGGGGAGGGGAGTAAATTGGCAGAGAATTCAGGGGTAGAGACAGACCTAAAGCAGAGGAGGCTAGATCTGGATCCCCAAGAGCTTCCCTGGGTTCCTTCACAGCTCTTATGCTGCAAGAAGCCCCACGAGCCAGAGGAGCTAACATGATAGGATCCTCTCTCTTCCCCACCATTCTTCCCACTGCCTCTTCTGCCCCCCTGGGTGCCGTGCACACCTTTCCTAATACTTTGGCTGAGCCCTAGGGCTTCCCACTGGGGCTGGCTGTGCCATGGAGAGGCCCTCTGCCTTTTGGGGCTGTGGGGTACCTGTGACTGGCTAACACTGATGTTACCTCTTCTTTCTGGGCCCTGCTCTGCCCTGCTGCCTGCCTGCTCGCCCTCTGCCCTGCTCTGCCCCTCTGGCATGGCTGTGAGCAGACCCTGGCTCGCCTAAGAAATGCCGTGCTCGCTTTGGCCTCAACCAGCAGACGGATTGGTGTGGTCCGTGCAGGTGGGTTTGTCCCCACCACCATTCTCCCTTTGCTTCAAGCTGCTTCCCTGACTCTGCATATGTTCTGCTGGGCTTACAGCCTTCCTTTGCCCACCCCTACAACTCAACCCCCTAAGACACCTGCAGATTGTGGAGCCCATGCCTTTTAAGAATGGGAGGGAATACTAAACAGTCTGTAGGGAAAATCTCTTGGGTCTAAGTGGAAGGAGGGGAAGAGACAATGTTCTAGAAGGGAAGGGAAGGCAGGCTCAAGAAGGTAGTTCTGATGCCTGCAGTCCTCAGGTAATGATGGTTTGGTGCTAAGCAGGCTTAGCTGGTCCTCAGTTGTTAAAAAACACCATTCAGGTGGCCTCAGCCCCTGGTCCCAGGCCTGAAAGTCATAATGGCCAGCCAGTTCCATCACTTCTAGTTGGGATCTCTGCCTGAGCCCTTAAAGCTAAGGGGAAAAAAAGACGACCATAGTAGAAAGTACCATGAACAACCTGGAGGCCAAGTGGCAAAGTAAGTCATCATTTTTTACCTAGAGACCAGAGGGCTGGAGAGGAAGGGAGAGAAGAGCAGGTCTTGTAGCAACAACTCTGTTCCACCACACAACAGAAAAATGCTTGTGTGTGTGAAAAGAATATCTACCAAGTGGCTAAAAGTTGCTTAATTCAGGTTCACACCAGGCCTCGTAGGCCTGGGGCTGAGGCTACTCCAGACAGCTAGTTCACTGACTCTGAGTAATGTCTGTCCAGCCCCTCAGGTGGGCTGTGCACCATGCTCCCTACCCAAGGGCAAAAAGGAATCAGGAGGAATATGTGTATGTGTGTATGAGTACATGGTGTGAAGCAACCAACCCTATCCTCACAGGAGGCCCTCGTTCTACCCATCCTACACTACTCAGAGACAGACTGTCCCAGAGAACTCAAGATGGTTAGAATGGATGAGAAGAATCATTGTCCATTTTTCTTCCCCTTCTCTGCCACTAACCTAGCTTTGAGCACTAGGATTGTTCAGCCCAAGAAGTGACAAGCATTGCAGCACCCCTGCCTTAATGCAGATGTGAACCCACAGAAACATATTAAACAGGCTCAAAGGCCCAGACCAGGATATGGCTCCCCTGGAAAACAAAGACAGCCCACAGGCCCCATCTACAAAAGTTCCTGTGCCACCATGTGGCTGTGCTGGGAACCGCACCTGTCCCAGGTCTGGCCAGGCCCAGCACAGTAGCAGAGCTGATCCAGTTCTGAAGACATAAACACATCATCCATGTCCTGGGGAGAGGGGACAAGAGGTCAGCTAGGCCTGTGCAAAGACAGCATTTTTTGGTTGTGGTGTATGACTATGAATTCACCCTCTGTTTACAGATAACTCTCTTCACTATTCCTAGGAGGAAAAAGAAATGCATTCGGTACTTACCCGGAGAAGGCCGCTGCCCCAGCCCCGTTCCTTCCGATGACAGTACTCTAGGCTGCTCCGGGTCCCCAGCCCCCCAGGATTCACCCTCATACCTCCTGCTGCCCCATTTCCCCACAGCACTACTTGCTAGCCCTGCGGAGCCAGCGCCTACATCACCAGGTCTGTCAGCTGCTCTCAGCCTCCCAGCCCTGTGGGCCCCCACAGGCCCTCAGCAATGCCCTGCAGAGTACACAGGTACAGCAACAGGAATTCTGGAGACAGGCAGCCTAGCATGCACAGGACACCTGGTCTCCAGGGACCCAGTCTTGGAGAAGCACCGACAGAGCCCTACAGCATGTGGGAACCAGCCAGGGCCCCGGTTAACTCCTGAGGGTCCAGGTGCTGATTTCAGAGGCTGCACAACTTCTACCTGAACCTGGGGCCATGACTTCAAACTGCTCCGAGTGGTGCATCCCATCTGTGTCATTACCTGATTAAGGGCCTCTCCTGTGCCTCATGGCAGCTTACATCTGTTCTTTTTGCCATCATCTTGCTAACCAGATGCCCCAGCCGCTTACCCTACCCTGCCTCCCTAGCTCACCTCCCCACTCCCACCACTGCCCCCCCCCCGCCCCCTCCCTGTCACTTCACGGACCAGGAATGAGCTGGTTTACCAAATGTGAGCCTGGCACAACCACAAAGCTCAAGATGACCATGCTTTCTCTTAAGGGCCTAGAAAAGCCACGTTTTACTGAAAGCTAGCTGCCGTTTGTACGCTGGACCAGAGAAATCCTGCCACATCCTCAGGAGCTTATGAGTAGAGGGGATGGAATAGGTTAAGTTTAGGCCTATCACCCTAGGCAACAGAAAAACCTGACACTACCTTGATCAGGCAAGTGTGGGTGGTAGGGATTATCTGGCCGTCTGGTTCAAATTACTTGGAAATGGTTCCTGAGAAACTCAATCACCTAAGAAGCCCTGATAGCAAAGCCCCAGACCTGTCACTAGTGGCTGTAGTCAACAGTTCAAAGAAGTCATGGCCCAAAACCTGGTTTGCATCCCTCCCCATTCTGAGAGGCTTTTTCACAGATCCATTTCCAGCTTATCCACCTCAGTCTAGCCAGCTCTTCGGCAGCGGTGAGAAGCCAAACAAAACCAGGCCAGCTTCAGTTTCCCTCTAGGGCACTGGGAAGAAGGACCATTACAGCCAAAGCAAGGAGCCCAGAAATCCTCCAGTGGTAGACTGGGCTTTCACCACAGCCTAATTAACCCAGTTCTGAGCCAAGCTTCAACCCTGAGCCTTAAAAAAAAACAAACAAAAAAAAACAACCACCTTTTTAATTTAACTTGGGTTTTTGGTGCCTCCTCACTGTATATATAGCCTGAATCCAAAGAAAAAGGGCTGTCCCTATACCCACACATACTCTCCAACAAAAGCCTTTAGTTCCTACTTTACCTACTGGCTTCTCTGATTCCAAAGATCATATATTCTAGTGTAGTGTTGCAGGAAGTCTTGCGAAAAAAGGGCCATTGTAGTATTAAAAATATTTTTGTATTGTTAAAGCATCATCATAGAAAAAAATTTTAAACATGAGAATAAAGATACTTTTTACTGTTTTTTTTTTCCTTGAAGCTTGACCCTGAGAAACGCTGTTTCAGGAACAGCAAGATATCCTTTTCACCCCAGCCATGAAACTCGAGGTTTATACGCTATTATGTACACATTGGACTTACGACCTGCAGAAGCCAGGGATGACTCTCACCTCCCCTTACAGGGCTTTGGGCCCTGCTGGGCTCACACTGGGCATAAGCTCCCAATCCTAACAATTGATCAGGCACAGAGCAGCCTCCCCCCCCCCATTAGAATGGGTTGGAAACTGCTACCCACAGACCCTATGACAATCCAACCAGAAATGGGTACACCTGACCACTAGGCTCTGTTTTGAGGCCTGAGATTAGATGGACCCTTCCGTCAGTATCCTTATTTTCCTCATATCCTATTATGAGGAAAATAAGTCTTTGTATACTGGTACGAAATCCAAAAAGGTATTTGATAGAACCCTTTCCTCCCAGAGACTATTAAAGTGATTGAAGTATATTGATATTTTTACGTAAAACCTCTGAATTTGATCAACCTCCAACCTACGTTCCACACAGCAGTTTCCACCGCACTGTGGAACCCACTGCTGACTGAGGCCCATCATGAATGTAGAAAGTGTCAGAGGTGCCCCAACAGGCCTGTTAGCCACTAGATGTACCCAAGAACTGCAACAAGCAGCCACTGGGCTGCCATCGTGCATTGTTAATTTTCACTGAGTTATATTTTTATGTTTAAAAATATTTATAAATAAAGTCATCTTCCAGAGGAGTGTCTATTTAAAGTAGGCCATTGGAAGTTGTAATCCTAGACTTTTTTCTGGAAGGGTACTAGAGACCAGCCATTCTCTTGACATCTGTCCCATTTAAAGAATTCCGCTCTGGCTAGTGGCCTAGATGTTTCAAAAAACTACATTCTAACCAAGGTTTATGCAAGACTGGGTTGCTGCATCTGATTAGGTGTCTTATTCAGAGAGTACACTGGGTACATGAACAATGTACTCTTTGTGTGAGGGTAGAGGAGGGGGGCTTTGGCCACATCATTAAAATCCAGCCTTAAAAAAATGATATCAAAGAAGAAACTCTAACCCTCCCAGGTCACACCAGTGCATTCCTATGAGGTCTCGGTGGCCTGAGTGCAGCCCTCACTTCAACTGGATACCACACCAGTCCCGGCTGACAGCCAAGAGCCAACCCTATTTTCTGAGATGTAACAAGTTACCCCAACCTCCCTTACACATTCCCACACAACTGGCACGTTTGCTTAAAATCTAGATCTTGAGCCATCTCTGGCTGCTGCCATTGTGCTCAGGATATTGTGACGGCTCAACCTGGCAAAGTAGTGGAGACTTACCAAGTCTTCCAATTCAAAAGGTGTTCTGCATGAGTTTCTAGAAAAACATCACATAAGGAACTTGCCAGGCCTAAACATGAAAGTAGAACATTTGAGACCAAAGAATAATTCATAACATAAAAACAATTGGCTTTTGAGGTTGCTTTAGCATGACTTTCTCAGGTCTCTTCAGAACTGTTAGTTCACTCCAAGTCCTTGAAACTGAACTTCCCAATGCAAGAAGACCCTGGTTCTTAGGTTTGGGTCTACTCTCTATCACTTAGATCTCAAATCACCATGGGACTCCACTTCAGGCTGCTGGACGCTCCACTGGTCTTGTCCACAATGGGCATGGTGGTCTGGGAGGAGTCCTAACTTCATGTACTCAAACCACAGTTTAAAATCAACGGATGGGGATGTTCCCAATGTTCCCTAGAATAAAAACCCAGCTTAGGTCAGGGGAGATTTTTGAGGTTAAGTATGGGGCTGAGCACACAGTTACCTGGAAAGGGCAAATGCTGCCCTAAAGTAGGAATGGTCCTCACCCTAGCTGCACTCATGAGTCGGGTCACTAGTAGTACAAGGTCAGGGACATTTTCAGCAGCCGTGAATTTTATGGGGGACAGTTAACTAGTAGTTCTAGTTGACACTTACTTCAAAGTTCACCAGAGGTTCACCATGAACCAGAGTTTACTTTTTAATTCAAGTGTTCTCTCCTTTTTCTGAAGTCTTGTTTCCTTCAGATGTGCAGACGATGTCAAGAGAGAGAGGAAGAAATATGGAGGAGGAGGAGGAATTACATTTCATTCACCACCCTCCAACCCACACCCCAAAAGCCACTCTGGAAACAACTCTTGAATATACAGGGCCTGGCAGAAGGCCTGCTTGAGTGTGGTTGGTAGGGTAATAATATGAGTGTAATAATTTAGAATTTTAATTTCAACATTTCACCTAAAATGCCATATGGTATGCTTGAGTGTGATATTACTATGTTACAGAATTACATGCTTGTGATTTTGTAATAAGGGGGGGTGAGGCAGTGTTATTTGTACTGGACCCTATAGAGATTTCTGAGATTGTAGCTCTTTATTCCCACCCCGCCTGGAATTCTGAGACAGAAATCTCTGCAAACCATCTGAAGCCAAAAAAAAGGAGGCGAGGCTGTGAAATGACACACTCGACATAGAAAGGACACATGAATTTGGCCTGTATAGGTGAGAAGCATTGAGAGTGAGAGGCCTTTTACAGAATAGGCTGCTCTGAGAGTGAAAGAAGAGGTTGGTATATAGCAGGTTAGATGCTTGGTAAATACTTCCTGAAAATGTTAAGCTCACTGGTATCGGAAGGTCATGAGAACTAGAGAAGAGGAAGTAAATATTGTGAGCAACTGTTTCTCCCACAAAATGTATCTCAGAGTTGCCAAACAGACCAGTCGTATCCAACAGTGCAAAATTCTCCAAGACAGCAGTCAGCCTTGAGTTAATCACACAAATGAAGTCCCACATTGGAAATCTGTCAAAAAAAGGCACCTTCAATACCTTTATGCCACCAACAATGTTTGTAACTACTGACAACTCAATAGGAAGGACCAAGTGTCCAAATCCTGCATAGGTGTCCTGATGGCTCAAACTTGGGTCAAGGTACATGTTCTAAACTACTTACACCATCCTTTGTCCTGATATGTACATTGAGTTCTTTTTTTTTTTTTTTTAAGATTGTGATTTTTAACAACAATAAATAAGGACTCTAGTTGTAAGACCCCCAATATTCAGAATACTTTAGTAATTAAAAAATACTTTCAGTTCTAACACTCAAAAAAATAGCCATGCCTAACATGAATCTGATACTCTTCCTAAAGTGTCATAAAAACTGTCACCAATCTGGCCTGTCACTTTCCAGCCTATATTTGCCAGCAGACTCACCAACACCCAACCTTCTGCTGCCCCCTCACCTTGGCATCCTCCATTCCCAACCAAATCCAGCTCCACTTCTGAAACTAGTTTTTCCTCATGGAACATTTTCTAGACCCTTTCAGCCCTGTAACCCCCAATTTGCTCATCAATCCTGTTCTGTCCAGGAATGTTTTTACTGAAGTTATTCATCCTTTCCCAGCTTTGCCTCAACTATTCCAAAAGACACCAAGAGGGCAACCGTGTCTTATACTTCCTACAAAGGATAAGCCAAGAGCCACACTTTAGGTAGTCAGCCATTTCATACGCTTTCCCTTTACTTACATTATCTTTTATTCTCTTCTTTCCTAGCTGGAAATCAGTTTTCACACAAATCCAGATAATTGAAGATTATCATCTTTTTAAAGCTCAGGCAAATTTGTAGGGAAAACATTTGATTCCTCCCCACTTGAATATATTCTGAGATTTAGAAAAAGAAAACTCAGATCTTCGAATGGAAGTGGTGGCAAGGAAAAGTTAAGTTTTGAAAGATGAGTGAGATCCTGAAGGCTGTGCATAGGACAAAGGGCATTCAGCGCAAGAGATGTGCTGTTCTTAGTTCTCTCTCCCAGGGGAATACCCCTTCCTATGTCTCTTCAAACTGCTATTAAGAGCCTAGACAACCTACCTACAATTTCTTCTTAATTTACCTGTGGGTCACAAAACATATTACAATATTGGCCCATTTTTAAGTAAATTAAGAGATCATGCTGTTTGGAATATCTGCCTGCCCTGAGTCACGTGCCCATAGTGGCTCACCATTACTCTCCTCCTCCAGCTGATTCCAAGCTAAGCTCGGCACTGCCATGACATCATGTTACAGGGCTGCAGCCCCAGGAGTCCACTAAAAATTGTTAATATAGATTTAGTCCTAGCAGCTAGAATAAGCGAATCACAGTTTTATCACTCAGGCATTTGTAACTTAAAGAGATGCCTTTGTGAACCTTTGGAAAAATATAAAAATTGTAAAGCAATACCTACCTTGTACGCTGTTAAAGGTAGACTTCTGAAGGCAAGCTAATGAAATACGGGCATTACTACAATAAATAATGTAAATGTAAAAAAAATATGGGGATACTCTGGGATACTGCAGGTTTGGTTCCAGAGCACCACAATGAAGTGAGTGTTGCAATAAAGCAAGCTGTAATCTTTTTGTTGGTTGAGGTTCTTACCTTCAACTAGTAAAACACTTTTCTGTTAAATGCCATAAAACAAAATACAAGGAAATGTGGTCTGGATAACCACATCAAAAGAGGTAACTTACTTTTATAGTTTAAAAATTATTAAAATCTATTTAAGGGGCGTCATCCTTAGTCCACAACAATTTCAGGGAGAAAGCAATAAGGAGTCTGGTTTACTTTTTGATCACAAGTGACATAAGTCAATGAAAAGCTGGAAAGCTGAAGGACTGTCACAGAGGAGTCTTTGTCTCCAACAGCACCACACTGCAGGTAGCTACTATTTCCAAGTTATCCAGGCCAGTGGGCACTAAGAGGCTGAGGCAGACATGCCAGTATTGGTTTAGAAAAGTTTGGAAGTGAGAGGACAGGCAGAGGTGGGTGCATCTTTGAAGACAGGTTTGGCTTTTATGGGAAAGGGCCACTCACTGCCTGGAAGAGATGAGAATGTGGAAAACTCTTGGTAAATATAGTAAAGGAATAGCACATAGCAAGGGAGAGGGAAAAGAGTATACCTGACAGCTTGAAGGGTCTCTTAATACTGTGCATGCCTACAATTTAGTTGGGTACACAATATCCACAAATTGGATGAGCTGTCAGTTATCAGGACCTATTTGTTTGTTTAAAAACTAGGGTCATAATCTATAGAAAGTCAGGAAGGGAACACAAATTTGAACTACTGCATTGTCTGTCCACTCAATCTCAGCTATTCAGAAAGGACCCAGTATCCTTTACATATGGGTAGTAAGGTTCTTCAGTCCTGCGATCCTAACAGTTTGGGGGCATTATATGGATCAAGAGCTAATAATAAGAAGCTCTTGTTTCCTAGAAGCTGTCACTTCATTTCCAAATTAAACACAGCATTTGCTAGTAATCTTAGACTTTCAGTAAAGATTTGTGTTTGGCATGGTATTACTATATTTGGGTATACTTGGGGTGGTTAAGCTTTTTGTCAGAGCTGACCATTACAGCAAGAATTAGCAGATGAGACACTCCAGCCATGATGAAATTCTGCTACTTTCCACACTAAAACCAGGATAAATGGAAAACAAACTTTATTCCCTGAGAGTAAAAGGTATCGAGAATTCAGGAGCAGTCACAGGGGTTGGCAAACTTTCTGTGTAAAAGGCCAGAGAATAAACATTTTAGGCTTTTGGTCAAATACAGTTCTCTGTGTAGACATTTTTTAAACAATCCTTTAAAAATGTAAGAATCATTTTGAACTCACAGACTGCACAAACCGGCTGTGAGCTGAATTTCACCCACACACAAGCTGTGGTTTGCTATCTCCAGTACAGCCAATAAATGGGGATTCATGTGATACAGCAAGTGGGACTTTATTACATAAAGTAGATTTGGGGGCAAATAAAAGGTGAAGTAGAGTCAAACTGCTGTCAATAATCTGAGCCAGAACAGCTCAGAGTACATACAGAGAACACAACAATAAAGCTACATGTGAATACAGATGATACTAACTGGGAAAGGAAGAAAAAAAGAAAAAGGAAAGGAAAAAAAAATTTGTGTGCCATCTCAAGCCATTGAGAAAACACTCTGCTGTGGGGGGAGGCTGGAAACAGTGGCAGCACAGCCTGGATGCCGCACACCACGTAAGGACTGAAACCTGCTCCAGCCACCCCTCCAAAGACATCACAAGAGACAAAAGTCTATGAAAACCCCATTGTTATGTCAGCAGTCTCCAGTCAGCTAGACTGCAAGCTAAACCACCAGCTTACAGCTAAACCACCGTACATAAATTTAACTCCTTTAATATTAAATGAAGAGACACATTTAAGTACACAAGAGCAAACCGTTTGCTACCTACTATGTAACTTACTTTTTATTTAAATTATCTTGCATTCATAATGGATGCTTTCTGGGTTTTGCCACACGTTTTAATGTTAAAGGTTAAAACTGTTTTACATGCAAGTACTGTGAATAGTTTTCCCCATATGAGATCACTGATTATAAAAAGATAACATACCACTAGGGTTGTCTTTTCTAATTGAAAAATTAACAACTAATTACATTTCCTCCAAAACCACAAACTGAGTAGTAACTGAGTCTCTAGCCAACACATTCAAAGCTGAGAGGATTAAAAACGCAAAAACAAGTCCTCAGATCCCATTAGGGGAGCCCTGCTACACACGGGCCAATCTGTATCAGTGACGCTCCTTGACTCCAGGAAGCTGGAAGACATCCTAATAACCCAAATCGGAACATTTACCTCAAGTAGCCTTTTTCCAGCCTCCAACTCATGAATAAAGATAATACATTGTTAATTCTATTTCAGAAAAATTTTGCAAGTTGTTTTATTTACAATGCCAACTTTTAAAAGGTCACTAAACTAAAGATAACTGGACAATAAACTAAGAAGAAATCGCTTTACAAAAAGAGGAAAAGCCCAAAATGCCACTTACCATAGAGAACCCACAATTCAGTTTTATTTAGAGCAAAGAGAAAAACTTTTTGATCATACTGGAAGAAAGTCAGCCATAGGTTTGGAGTCTGTACCCAAACTACACATGCAATGAGGACAGTACTCTGCTAATACAGTTGAATTGCTGCTGCATTTGTCTACTGTTTGTCTAATATTAACAATTATAAACAGAGCAGTGCAACTAGTATTTGGAACAATCCTTACAGTGTTACAGTGTCAGGCACAACATTTCACTTCTCTTCACACCACTGGTTCTCTTTGCGTACCTGAAGAGAAGATGAGATAGGTGTAAGAAGTACCTTAACTTTAGTCTTTCCTAATACTACTACCCAATTTCATCAATAATCTTGCTAGGTGGGTCTAAAAGAAACAGAAAACTGGAAAAACACGAGGTTAATAATAAACTTCCTAGTCACTCTTCTTTTCCCCACCAGGTTTTTATTCTGCCCTGTGGAAATTATCAAAAAAGCAAAGGCAGTGGGTGAATTACAGTTTCAGGGACCAGAGCTAATGGAGCAAATTCAAACAGTTTATTCACATCATTTCAGTTTGTAGCTGTGTCAACAAAGTCATTCTGATCTATTCATTCATGTCTTCCCCATTCACTAAGTTGCTATCAAGTATCCTAGCATCTAACCATCCCTACAGTCTGCTTTTCTGAAGTCACTTACGGCTTGTATGTAAGGTCCCAGGTGCCAAAACTAGTAACTGCTAAGGAATGAGTATCATAGAACACCCTTGGTTGAAATGTAACTATTCTTACGTTAATAATAAAAAAAGCAGTATCAGCCCTGGCTAGTGTGGCAGTGTGGACTGAGTGCCCGCCTACCAACCACAGGCTCACAGGTTTGATTCCCAATCCGGGCACATGCCTGGGTTGAGGGCCAGGTCCCCAGTGGTGTGTGCACAAGAGGCAACCACACACTGATATTTCTCTCCCTCTCTTTCTCCCTCCCTTCTTCTCTCTAAAATAAATAAATATATATTTTTTAAAAAGCACAGTATCATTCAAGTATTTAGACTCATTCAATATATATATATTTATAGTATATAATTTATATATATGTTATACATCTCTCTCTCTCTCTGTCACGCTCTCTCAAATAAAGTCAAGATTCCTTGATACAGGCACTTCTTTTCCTGGAATGTTATGGGTTTTCTGCTCTTTTAAAAAGCATGTGATAAAGCCCTGGCTGGTGTGGCTCAGTGGATTGAGCGCCAGCTTGAGAACCAGAGGGTCACTGGTTCCATTCCCAGTCAGGGCACATGCCTGGGTTGCAAACTGGGTCCTGGGTAGGGGGCGTGTGAGACACACATTGATGTTTCCTTCTTTCTCCCTTCCTTCCCCTCTAACAATAAATAAAATCTTAAAATACAAACAAATAACTAAAAAGCATGTGATCAAGAGCAAGCTGTGGGTTACCTACCTGGGCTTCCTCTTCTTCAGTAAAGTCATTTTTGATGTTGAAGGTCTTACGAATCTCCTCAGGAGTTTTCCCCTTGATCATATTGGCAACAGTCTTGCATGTAACATCAAGCAAACCTTTGATGTCTAAATAGTTTGCAGCCTATAAAGAGATTACTGTTTTTATTAAAATGCATTTGAAGTTTTAAACTAAATCCAGAGTTAGTGGCTCACAATCCTTATCTAATTAAGCTTAAAATGCTAGTTAATTTAAAGAAATTAAATGGAGGCCCTGGCTGGTGTAGCTCAGTGGATTGAGTGCGGGCCTGCGAACCAGAAGATCACGGTTCAATTCCCAGTCAGGGCACATGCCTGGGTTGTAGGCCAGTTCCCAGCAGGGGATCCACGAGAAGCAACCACATATTGATACTTCTCTTCCTCTCTCCTTCCCTTCCCCTCTAAAGATAAATAAAATCTTAAAAAAAAAAGTACTGTTTTCTAAAAAAAAAAAAAAAAGAAAAATTAGATGGAGAAAAGTAAATCAGATAAGCTTTGTGAAAGATATTTGTACATCCCTACACTGTATGCTTCTGTAATACTACGCTGCCACAAGTAACCTACAAATGGCCACTATCTATACATGGTGTGCACATCTGAGTGTACGTGTCCAACCCTGACAAAACATTTAAAAAAAACATAAGCAGTTATGGCGTTACATTTTATTAACCTTCTGGAAAAATCAGCTTTTGGTTTCTTTGATTTTTCTCTACTGTTTTCCCATTTTCTATTGATTTCTGCTCTTTAACATTCCCTTTTTCTTTGGATTAATTTCATCTTTTTACTAGTTTCTTAAGGTAAAAGCTTAGATGACTGTAATTCCATTGTGATCAGAAGACACACACTTCGTGTGATTTGAATTCTTTTAAACTTGAGACTTGTTTTATGGCCCAGATCATGTCTACCTCAATAGTATATACTTCAATAGGCACAGAATATGTATTTTGCTATCATTAAATGTAATATTCTGTAAATGTCAATTAAGACAAGTTGATTAACAGTATTATTCAAGTTTTCTATAGACTTACTGATTTATCGACTTGTTTTAGAAATTATTTAGAGACAGGTATGGAAATATCTAAGTACTGATCACAGATTTGTTTGTATATTATCCTTTGAGTTCTATTGGTCTTTGTTTAACTTTTTTTTTTAATTTATTTTTTTTAACTTTTTTATTGATTATCCCATTACATTTGTTCTATTCCCCCCTCCATTCCCCTCCACCCTGCATACCCCTCCCCCACCATTTCCCCCTTTAGTTCATGAACACGTGTCTCAAATTCTTTAGATTCTGTATTTCCCCTACTATTCTTACCCTCCCCCTATCTATTTTCTATCTACTGTCTATGCTACTTATTTTCTGTACCTTCTCCCCCCTTCTCCTCCTCCCACTCCCCCTGTTGCTAACCCTCCATGTGATCTTCATTTCTATGGTTCCACTCCTGATCTAGCTGTCCTCTTAGTTTGCTTTTGTTTTAGGTGTGGTTGTTACTAACGGTGAGTTTGCTGTCCTTTCACTGTTCATCTTTTTTATCTTCTTTTTCTTATGTAAGTCCCTTTAACATTTCATATAATAAGGGCTTGGTGATGATGAACTCCTTGAATTTGGTCTTATCTGAGAAGCACTTTATCTGTCCTTCCATTCTAAATGAAAACTTTGCTGGGTAGAGCAATCTTGGTTGTAGGTCTTTGGTTTTCATGACTTGGAATACCTCTTTCCAGCCCCTTCTTGCCTGTAAAGTCTCTTTTGAGAAATCCACTGACAGTCTGATGGGAACTCCTTTGTAGGTGACTGTCCCCTTAGTTCTTGCTGCTTCTAGGATTCTCTCCTTTATTTTAATCTTGGCTAATGTAATGATGATGTGCCTTGGTGTGTTCCTTCTTGGGTCCAACTTCTTTGGGACTCTCTGAGCTTCCTGGATTTCCTGGAAGTCTATTTCCTCTGCCAGAATGGGGAAGTTCTCTGTTATTATTTGTTCAAATAAGGTTTCCACTCGTGACACTTCCCCTTCTGGTACCCCTATAATTCGAATGTTGGAATGTTTAAAGATGTCCTGGAGGTTCCTAAGCTTCTCCTCATTTTTCTGAATTCTTGTTTCTTCATTCTTTTCTGTTTGATCATTTTTTTCTTCCTTCTGGTCCACTCCCTTGATTTGAGTCCCAATCTCCTTTCCATTACTATTGGTTTCCTTTATATTACCATTCATTTCAATTAGTTTAGCTTCCATATGTTTCTCTAATTTGTGACTAAAATCAACCAGTTCTGTAAGGATCCTGATAACACGTGTTTTGAACTGTGCATCTGAAAGACTGGCTATTTCTTCATCGCTTAGATCTATCAGTTCTGGGGCTCTGAGTTGTCCTAGAGCCATTTTTGGTCTATTCGTGCTGTTAAGTAAGCGGAGCGAAGCCTTAGTTGTTTACCAGGACGGGGCGACCCAGGTCGCTGGTTTGTGACGCTGTGTGTGGGGGCGTGGTCAGAGAGGGAGCAATGGCGGTCCTCTCCGCTAGCTCAGTCCGTCCAGTCACCCCACTCGCCCTGGGCCTGTTTATCCAATCGGAATTGTGCGAGCCTGCAGTTGTGCGAGCCTGCTACCCCGCGCAGGCTTCCCTCCTCACTGGTTTATCCGCACGCAGATGTGCAACCAACCACAGACAGCCCGCCGTGCCTCTTCCCTGTGTGCTCCCGTAGCTAGCCCGCGATCAGCGCCTTCGGCTGCTCGCGCACGTCGCACCACCCATTCGGGGATTTTTTTCTTGCCAACCTGCTCCGCTGCTGGCTTCGCTCCTCTTACCGGTTTAGCTGAGCATTTCGTTGTCTTCGGACTCCATATTGTCGATTTTCTGTGTGGCTTGGTTGTGTTTATTGTTGTTAAAAATAGTTGTTCTTAGGTTTGGTTGTGCACAGAGGCAAGGTGGTTCCACCTACATCTCCATCTTGGCGGAAGTCCCTGTTTAACTTTTTGTTAAGTTCTCCATTTAAGGAGATATATGTTTACAACTGTTATGCCTTCTTAATAATGAGTTGATTCCATTATCATTATGTAACAACCCTCTTTAATCTTGGTAATATTCTATACCCTGAAATCTACTGTAATATAGTTATTCCAGTTTTATTTTGACTAGTGTTAGCATAATATATCTTTTCCCTCCTTTAAACCTAATGTGTTTTTAAAGTGAGTTTTTTGTAGAGAGCATAGCTGAGTCTTCCTTCTTTTTAATCCAATGTGACAATCTCTACCCTTTAATTGTGGTATACAGACCATTTACATTTAATGTAATTATTGATATGTAGATTCCTCTGAGTTCAGAGTATTATAATTTAGTAGCAAATAATTTAACAAATTTCACTCTATAAGAAGTGCTAACAGCTCTGAGGCTAGAGATATCTTATAGTAGTCATTAAAAACATACCAGAATAAGTTCAAAAAGTGTTCCTTGGTCAACTTTCAGGAATTCTTGGTCCCACACAGGGATATCATCAGTTCGTTTTTCTTTGTTCTCATCATCCTCAGGAGGAGGAGGGTCATCCTTGTGGTGGGTGCACCACTGAATGACCTACAACAAAAACGAAAGTTCATTCCTTGGTGGTATTTTGTCACAAGGTATTCGTTCCACTGCTGAGGCACAGTTATTACTATACTGGGTTAAGAACTAGCTAGAAGTTGACTTGAATAATAAAGTTAGTAGCTGAGCTTGAAAGGCAAAAATGAAGCTTGAGAAATCTTCACAACCCTTAGAGGGTGGAAGATCTTAGATAACAGCGAGTCCTTCAGTCAGATTACTGTAATTAACCACATTAAAAATTTTTTGTGCAAAAAAAATACACAAGATAAGGAATGGAAAATACCTACAACATGTATAACCAGCAATGAATTACCCTATAGTTTATAAAGTATTAAAAATTACTACAAAGAAATAAGCTAAAATATGAACAGGAAATCCACAAAAGAAATCTAAATAGTGAAACAAAAGGAAATGCTTAGCCTCATTACATGCAAAATTAAAATTAGATCCAACTAGTTTAGATTCCCTTTTGAAAAGGAATCTAGCACTACTTAGTAAAACTATGTGCGTATATTACCACCAAGCAATTCTAAATACTCAAACATATATGTAAGACTATTTAATGTAATAACAAAGCAGGAAAAGCTCAAATGTTCCCTTACTAGTGGCATGAACACAGTATAATTAAATTTTCAGGAAACTGATCAGCTATACTTATATGTACCCTGGTAAAGACCACAATCAGCCCCATGGTAAAAACCAAAATCAGCCCTGGCTGGTGTGGCTCAGTGGATTGAGCACGGGCCTATAAAGCAAAGGGTCACCAGTTCAATTCCCAGTCAGGGCACGTGCCTGGGTTACGGGCCAGGTCCCCAGTGGGGGGAGCACATGAGAGGCAACCACACATTGATGTTCCTCTCCCTCTCTTTTTCCCCTCCCTTCCCCTTTCTCTAAAAATAAAGAGAATCTTTTTTTTAAAAAAAAGGAGCAAAATCAAAACTTAAAGTATTAAGTCACAGAATCTAAGTGGAAGGCAAATGGGTGTTTGCTACATAAGTCAACTTTTCTGTATGATTAAACATATTCCATAGTTTAATATTGGGGGAAAAAATGTCAGAGCCAAGAATTTATACTGCCAGAATGCAAAACTGAGAAAGAACTCTTTCTAGAAGGAAAAGCCAAAAAGAAAAGGCTTTAGTGAAATAATAGGTTTTTAAGAAGTATTCCTTGAGCGCGGGCCTGTGAACCAGAGTATCGCGGTTCGATTCCCAGTCAGGGCACATGCCTGGGTTGCAGGCCAGTTCCCAGCAGGGGACTCAAGAGAGGCAACCACACATTGATGTTTCTCTCCCACTCTTTCTCCTTCCCTTCCCCTCTCTCTAAAAATAAATAAATAAAATATTAAAAAAAAAAAAGAAAAAAAAAAAGAAGTATTCCAACCATGTAAGAAAAACAGCAATTAGTATTTGCTTATATAGGCATTAAAAAACTCTTAAAAATATATATAATTAGGCCCTGGCTGGTAATAGCTCAGTGAATTGAGCGCGGGCCTGCGAACCAGACAATCACGGTTCGATTCCCAGTCAGGACACATGCCTGGGTTGCAGGCTGGTTTCCTGCAGGCCAGTTCCCAGCAGAGGATGCACGAAAGGCAATCGTACACTGATGTTTCTCTCCCTCTCTCCTTCCCCCCTTCCCCTCTAAAGATAAATAAATAAATATTTTTTTAAAAAATGTTTAAAAAATATATATAATTAATGTTGATTATTATTTATGGAGGTTTCTGGTCAGATAAGAGACAAAAGAGTTTTACTGTATATTTTCCATTTTTGGATCATGTGACTATTCGATATACTTTAGGTTTAAATATTATTCGTAAGTAATAATGCAAATAGGTTAAAAAAACTTATTCTCAGAAGTGGCCCTGTATCACCCAGCCCATCAGCTCTGACCTTCTTCACACTATCTCTTTGCTTCTTCACTATGTTCTAGCAACCTCAAAAGGTCGGGCATGCTCTTGTCTGAAAGAGGCAACGCACTTGCTCCCATTGTCCAGAATTCTCTCCCCCATATAGTCAGTCTTTGTTCGAAGATTATCTTCTCAGTAAGGCATTTCCTGACCATCTTCATTTTTAAAACAACTAACTATCCACCTACCAACCCACTTATAATCCATACCTCTTCCATCTCACATATTTCTTTGGTTGTACATTTCCCTCAATTCCTAAAAATTGTCTGGTATTTGAATGAATGCAAGCAAATTTCTTTTTAGAAGCATTTTACATTAGCATAAAGTAGAATGTTAATTACAAACAATACTCAGAAGCCAGAGAGGAGACCTAACTAAATAAAATACAAAGCTTCTAACCCATAAAATACTATGAATTTATATAAGCCAAGCAAACTGGTATAGACTACAAAATGGATGAAGCTTGAAAACATTATCCTAAGTAACGATATAAGCCAGACACAAAAGAACAAATACTGTGTGATTCCATTTATATGAGGTATGCAGAACAGACAAATTTACAGAGATGGAAAATAAAATAGTGGTTACACGGGGCTGGAGGGAGAGGGTAATGGGGAATTATCATTTAATGGGTTGAGTTTCAGTTCTGGAGATGGTTAATGGCTGATGATCACACAACAATGTAAATGTACTTTATGCTACTGAACTGTTTACTTAAAAAAAGTAAACCTTATGTTCTGTATTTTATTACATTTTCAAAAGATTTTATTTATTTATTTTTAGAGAGGGGGAAGGGAGGGAGAAAAGGAAAACTTCAATGTAGGAGAGATCTGTCAACAGGTTGCCTCTCACATACCCCCAACTGGGGACCTGGCCTGCAGCCCAGCCATGTGCCCTGACTGGGAATCAAACTAGTGACCTTCTGGCGTGTAAGCCAGCACACAATCCATGGAGCCACATCAGCCAGGGCGTACCTTATATATTTTTTAAAAGACCATTAGAAAGATGGACAAAGGAAAATAGACAATGTAGAAAGTATCAATTGCCAGTAACATGTAAAAAAAATGTTCAGACTTAGAGAACAATAACTTCTCACCCAGTGTAGAACAATTAAGAAGACCGGTGACAGCCAACGGAGTTAAGAATATGGAAACAGAGCCCTGGCTGGTGTAGCTCAGTGGATTGAGCGTGGGCCTGAGAACCAGACAATCACGGTTCGATTCCCAGTCAGGGCACATGCCTGGGTTGCAGACCAGTTCCCTGCAGGCCAGTTCCCAGCAGGGGACACACAAAAGGCAACCATACATTGATGTTTCTCTCCCTCTCTCCTTCCCTTCCCCTCTAAAGATAAATAAATAAAATACTTAAAAAAAAAAAAAAAAAAGAATATGGAAACATATGCAGTGCAGCTACATCTCATACCAGGGTCAAGAGAAAGCATAAGATGAAACTGCACAACACCAATGACCTTTGAAAAATTCTTTAGAAAGGAGCCAACTGGAATAAAGCTAACCTAGCCAGTTCTTCTCCCAATGTGGAAACGGGTTGCTATTTCTTCAAGTAAGTATTCAATTTAAATAGCTTGCTCTGTTAAGGAGCCATGTGCCCAAACTCTAAAATCCTATTTAACATGGAGAGCCATTTATGCTTAGACACAAAGTAAGGTGATCGACCGAGGAAGAAAAAGCCACATCTCTTGTTCTCAAGCTCCCTTTGAAGCATACCCATTCAGTGGACAAACTACAAAAAACTTCCTTTCTACTGATCACATATTGTTCTACTTAAGTAATTTAAGTGTGTTAATGAAAAGACTACCCCACTCAGCCCTAGCCAGGTAGCTCAGCTGTCTAGAGAATCATCCTAATACACCAAGGTACAGTGGGTTCAATCCTTGGTCAGGGCACATACATGAAGCAGCTAATGAATGTATAAATAGGAGGAACAACAAAATTGCCGTCTCTTAAAAAATCAATTCAAAAGAAAAAAACAACAAACAAAATGGACTGGACAACTCAAATATCCAAAGGGTTTGAGTAAGTAAACTACAACAAGTATTTAGAGTAAACCATACCACATAGGGTTTTGTTTCTTTTTTTTTTTTAAGATTGTATGTATTTATTATTAGAAAGAGGGGAAGCCCTGGCTGGTGTAGCTCAGTAGATTGAGTGCTGCCTGTGAACCAGTGCTGGAAAGCGTCACTAGTTCAATTCCCAGTCAGAGCACATGCCTGGATTCGAGCCAGGTCCCAGGTTGGGAGCACTCGAGAGGCAACGACACACTGATGTTTCTCTCCCTTCCTAGTGTCTATAAATACATAAATAAACAAACAAACCATCTTTAAAAAAACAAATCTTTAAAACAAGGAAGGAAGGCAGGCAGGCGCTATCTCAGTATCAATATAGAAAGGATATTGTTAAATGAAAAAAATACATATACAAGCATAGAGTTTGCTAGCTTACCTTTTTCAATATTGCTGCATTAACATTTGGTAGAGGAACTGGGTCATCATCGCCTTCATCATCCATTCCCAAATCTAACAAAAGCAGAACAGAGTTGCCATTATTTCTTAACTCCACTATAACATTTATACCAAACAAGGCTATTTCTCAAACAAGTATTTTGCATGACATGTTGTCTGAAAGAGTATAAAAAGTACTGTACTAAGCATAATTCTTTTAATAGCATTTAAAATCTGTGGTTCCTAACAAGAAGTCCATGAACCACCCAAAACTAAATGAGTGAACAAATATAGGAATATTATATCCAAAGAGTTCTAAAATAGGAGGAAAATGATTTAGTAAGTGTGGATTGAGATGACAGGGCAGCCATTTGGAGGCGGGAGGGAGGAAGCCAAACCCTTATCCTTACTCTTTCTCCAAATGACTGCATTTAGAAAAATAAAACCATAGCAAGTATCATAAGTAACAACCTCACACAACACATACAAAAGATCATGCAGCCACTGACAAAAACAAGGCAGGCAGCTTCATACATACTGGTATAAGTTGAAGATTAAAGTTTTTAAAAACCAGATATAAAAACATACATGTTATCATTACATATTTATATTTAAAATATCTCCATAAGGATACAAAAGGAACTGTTAATATGTCTAACTGTTGATATGTCTAGGGAAGTTAAGAAGAATGTAGGTTGAATGATTCAGTTTCAGGGTATACCTTATTATTCCTCACGTACATATTACTTATAATTTCTAATCCATAAGTTTCTCTGGTAAAAAGGTGTAACTTTCAGATTCTCAAAGTGGTGGGTAAACTCTAAAGACATAATTTAATTTTAAAATCACGTGGGTCCTTCGGTTTCTGTAAGACTAGAAAAGCTGCCAAAGAAAGTTACTGGGTTGGCCAAAAATCTCGTTTGGTTTTTTCCCCCATAAGATGACTCTAGTAGTATTTGGTTGTCTTGAACTTCACTCAAAATAATTTCTTTAGACTGTACTGTGACAACTGTCATATCAGCATGCATTAAAAAAACATCAAAATTGGTGAATTTGTGTGTAGCCGTTTTAATACTGAAGATGGAAGAATATATGCATTTTCAACATCTTATGCTTTATTATTTCAAGAAACACCACTGAAATCCCCAAAAAGATTTGTGCAGTGTATGAAGAAGGTGCTGTAACTGTGTCAGAAGTGGTTTGCCAAGTTTCTTGCTGGAGATTTCTCACTGGACAATGCTCCACCATCGAGTAGACCAGATGAAGTTGATAGCAATCAAATTAAGATATTAATTGAGAACAATGAATGTAATACCATGTGGGAGATTAGATGACATACTCAAAATATCCAAATCAATAGTTATTGGTGAAAACAAAAAATGTATCTTTTACAGAAAAATCTCAATGGACTTTTTGGCTAACCCAATACTTACCAGTTAGCATGTGCCAAGATTAGAACCCAAAACTTAACTACAATACTATATTGATATAGTGGAGTATCAGTTATGTTGACATGGCCAGGGCTGAATCAAACATCTGAGTCCCTGATAGACCCAGGTGCTGTGCTAGGCAGCTGAGAATCAGCAATGAATACAGGGTGGAATTACTGCAATTTTAGAGGAGATTAGGATGCCTCACTGAGATAACATTTTAGTATAATTTTAAAGGAGGAAAAAATACCTAAGCGGACGGAATGGCAAACGCAAACTCCTTCTGACAGGAGCGTCTGACATATTCTAAAAACACTAAGGAATCTGTGTTGCTAGAACAGGATTGGCAAGGGTGAAATAACAGGGGGCCTGATAATTACAGGGCCTTCTGTATTTTGGCTACTGTATTGAAAAGAGACAAAAAAGATCAGAGGGAAAAGTAGGAAACCAATTATGGGGCTAGCAATAAACCAGGCACAAGATAGTGGATTGCTCAAGTTTATAGCTATGGAAAAAATAAGAAATAATCAAATTCTGTATGCATTTTGAAGGTAGAGGCAACAAATGGTAAGTAGAACGTAAAAGGAATCAGAGACCCTAAGGTTTAAGACAGGGTAAGATACAGAAGCAGCCCGAGTGTCCATCAGTAGATGAGCGGATAAAACAACCATGGGACATTTGTACAATGGAATACTATTCACCCATGAAAAAAGTTTTACCCTTTGCAACAGTATGGATAGACCTGGAGAAAATTATGCTAAGTGAAATAAGCCAGTCAGAGAAAGACGACTACCATATGATTTCACTTATGTGTGGAATCTAACGAACAAACTGAACTAACAAGGAAAATGGGGACAGACTCACAGACGAAGAACAGAAAGAGAGCTAGTAGCAGGGAGCCAGAGGGGGTGGAGTGGACTGAGCAAAAAGGAGAAAGGACTCACAGATAAGGACAACAGTGTGATGACTGCTGTAGGATGGGGGGGGGGGTGATGATTGCTGTGGGATGGGGGGCGGACTATAAGGGACTAAACAGTAAAAGAAAAAAATACAATAAAGATTAAATTTAAAAAGAAAAGACATGATGAACCAGAGGAATGGAGTTGTCATTAACTATGGGCAAATCTGTCAGAGAACTATGATTTTGGAGGGCAGAGAATCAAGCACTCTACTTTCATCCTAAGTTTGAGATTAGCAATTAGGTATATAGGGTTAAATACGCAAGTCTAAAAATCAAAAGAAGGTAAGTTTGGAAATTGCTGTATAGATGGTTTAACACCATGAGACTAGATGAGATGACCAAGGAGATGAATCAGTATAGACAAAATGAAGAGGTCCAATGATTAAGTATGCCCTGGGAACCTTCGGGCTTTAAAGACAGGGAGAGGGAAGGCTGTGAGTTCTACTAAGTAAAGTATCCTGGAAGCCAAATATAGAAGAGAATGATTAGTTGTCAAATGCTGTCAACAGGTCTAGATGAGAAATAAAACAGATGATGAACTTACCATGGAGGTAACGAGCTTATTAACAAGAAGTCCAAGTGGAGTGTAAGTTCAAAAACTATCTTATTTTCCTGTATGTATTAGGGTTACTGATCTCCTCTCTCCTACTTCCCACTAATGCCTTTTCTTGATCCTCTCTGCCTGGAATAAAACTATAAAATGATAATATCCCAATTTGGATCAAGCCACTTACCCTTTTTCTGAGCTAGTATAAAACATTTGTAATTAGAGGGGAGAGAAAAAAAAGTTTTACTATGTAAAATACCTGTGTTTGGGGAATTAAGATATAGAGAAAACATTAATTCCAAAGACCATTTTGTTTAGATCCAAACGTTATTTGAAAGAAGGCTTAAGTCACATTAAAAATAAAGGCCTTAAAGCCCTGGCTGGGCAGGTCAGTTAGTTGGAGTGTTGTCCTGTGCACCAAAAGGCTTCGGGGGCCAGGCCCCTAGTTGGGGGCGTGCAAGAGGCAAATGACTGATGTTTCTTGGGCACATCAATGTTTCTCTCTCTCTTTTGCCCTCCCTTCCCCTCTCTCTAAAAATAAATTTAAAAAGCCTTCAAAAATAGTACTACTACAAATAATAATGGCCTTATGGTTGCAAATGATTACTTCCCTAGCATTTAAACTAAGAATTGTTTAAGTGCTAGAGAAGTTTTTTGCTTTTAGACTGAATGCACAAGTAGCAAGTTGTTCCTTTAAGCTATTTTGTTTCAAGGACTTCTGAGACACCTGTATCTCGATACCACACCCTGTACCCGAACAAATCAATCAATCCCAATGTACACAAGCCAAGATTTTCATTTCAGATTGTCATGTAATTAGAAGGTTTTATTTTTGTTTTCTAAGTCACACAGATAAACAACAACAAAAAACACCATAACCAGAGATACTGCAGATGCAAAACAAGGGAAGCAGTGAGCTGCCAGATTTAATAGACTCTAGTCCTCAAGAGGCTAGAATTCTATATAAACCACTGGTACTTAAGACAAAGACAAAGCCAAATGCAATGGAAGAACAGAACATTTAACTGTTGCTGTCATTCCACTTGATTCAGTGATCAAAGTTGGTGTGAAAACCTTCAAGGAGCCCTATGTTCTTACATTGGCAGATGCTTCTTTGAAGCAGCACAAGACGGATTAGTGTGCCAGGCACCAACTAAGACAAAATAAAGAACACTTTCATTGCCAAAGCAAGTATTCAGGCAGCAATTGTGGTATCAGTTTCTACATCTTCTAGATAAAACCTTACCTGCCTTTAGGGACACCTGGATTGCTTTCATACTCTTTTTTTAGTGACCATACCATAGGTCTTCATTCAACGGGTACTTTATGGACAGTGACTGTGGGATGCATCAAGGGGTTTACAACTTAATAGAAATGATCTCTGTATGTGGTTACCAGGATACAGGAATGTAAGTGCTTATATGTCCAGCTTTCATTAGCAAACAGAAATCATATACTATGAAAACAAAAGACACACCCACTGCAATTCAGCTTCTGCTTCTACCACACCTAGTATCTGTTAGAAGTCCTCTAACTTACTAATTGTGAGACCCTAAGTTACCAGTCCGCAGTATATGAATCCAATAATCACTCTGGTCACCTCAAAAAGCCTTCCCCTTCCCCTGGCTTCCACAAATCCTATTTCACCGATTCTCCATTTCTGACTTCTATACTCCTGCCCCAACATGACCACCTGCCAACCTCATTTACTCCAATAGATAGATGTTCTCATAACTCACCATACAAAGTAAGTCTATTTACCTCCAGGAGCCTACAACTCAGGGACCAAGATCCATACACTCAAATGCCTACAGACTGTTACAAAGGTCTACTGAAGAAATCTCAAATACATATAACATGATCAAGCTCAAAGGCATTTTCTTTCATTCCTCGCAAACCCATTCTTTAGGTCTACCAACTATAGTATCACAATCTCTTCCCATCCCCAAAACCCCAACTAAAACCTTTGATTTTACTTTTCTCAAACACATCCTCTTTACCTCAGAACAATCTCCCCAAACATCCTAATTCCATTACATGTGAAGTACCACTTCACTAGGAGTACACACTGCAGTCTCTCCACAGGACTGAAGAAAGCACCAGCCAAGACGTTCTCACCAGCCAAGACGTTCTCACAGCACTAGCTGGCACACAACTTGGTTACTGCACCAACTACACTGTGTGCAAGTTTGACTTGCTTGGTGTCTGTCTCCCTTCCTCGTTTAAAAATCCTTCAAGGGCAAAGACCGTTTCTCACTTACCTTCTTTTTAGCTAGTATTTGACACATAACTTGTTTTCACTTAAGTATCTATAAGCTACAGCCCTGGCTGGTATAGCTCAGTGGATTGAGCATGGGCCTGTGAAGCAAAGGGTCACTGGTTCGATTCCTGGTTAGGCACATGCCTGGGTTGCAGGCCAGCTCCCCAATAGGGGACACATGAGAGGCAACCACACATTGATGTTTCTCTCCCACTCTTTCTCCTTCCCTTCCCCTCTCTCTAAAAAAATAAATATTTTTTTAAAAAGTATCTATAAGCTACAGCTTTTCCCTATATAAAAAATTTAATATTTGACTAATACAGAATATTCTTATTATACAAAATTTTTCTGCACCAATTCCTCAAACTTATTTGTATACTATACTATAGTTCCACTACACTGTTAATGTCCACCAGCCCGCTGGTAATACTAAGAGACCCATGTTAACTAGCAGAAGTTTCAAAATGTTTCAGAACCTATTTTTCTGTCTTACTTCTTTGTTTTGTACACATATACTTTGCAGAAGTTTCAGAGGAATGATAAACTAGACAAAAGGGAAAACTTGGTTTAAAAAAAACAAAACAGCTACTCAGTTTACAATCTACTCAGTTTACTCCCTCTGTTGAAACAAGGTGCTCTATTTAGCTACCTCATACAAAGGATCTCTTTTCCAAAGGCTTTAATTTTTGTCATTAAAAATTGTGAATCTAAATTTACTTGAAATAAAAATTGAAAATTTCAGTATTAGCTTATGGTCTTATCTATTTGATGAGGAATAAAACTTCATTAATTAAGACAATGAAGAAAGAATGACCTGTATCAGAAAAATGCAGTTAATACTTAAACTTTTTTTTTTAATAAAAGGTAAGCCCTTGCCAGTAGCTCAGTTTGCTAGAGCATCATCCAGATATACAAAGGTTGTGGGTTTGATTTCCCACATACATGAAGCAACCAATGAATGTACAAATAAGTGGAGCCACAAATCGGTGTTTCTCAAACCCCTTCCCATTTCGCTCTACCTCTACAATAAAGAAATTTTTTTTTAAAAATTTAAAGGTAAACTACACCCCTTCATACTCTTTGAGCACTTTGACAGTTTGTTACTATATAAATTCGATGTTCACAGGTTACCTCAAACTACTTATTTTTTCCTCTTTCCTCTGACCTAGGTTTTAAAATAAACTTACCTTCTAGCATGGTCTTGATAGTCACCGACTGTTTGGCAATTTCAACATCAACTTCAAATATCTCTCCATCAGAACTCTGCAACTTAATTGAAGGCATCTAAAAAAAAGGCATTATACTGATTTTGATATTTAAGAGATATTAATTCTATAAGACACTTCATCAACTTCTGTTAGAAGCCCTCTATAACTTAACTATAAAACTGTAAGGACCTGTAGTATATGGCCCTGTAAAACGGAGTGGTTTTTCACAGCCTGGTATATAAATGTTTCTATAAAAATTTTTCAAAGTGTATTTCCTAGTTGGACAACAATTAAAATTTTTTTAAAAAATTTTTAAGTGTATTTCCTAGAACAGAAGCTTTTAAGGCCTGTCCTACTGAACTCAATGCTGGTATAAATTTGAAAGTTAAAGTCCATACTTTTGATGTAAAGTATATACCTAAAATGGAGTTTTTATTCATTTTGCTTGCCTTTCTACTCTTACTGAATACTGGCTACTCCATATGACTAGTTAACTGCCACAATTAACCACCTACAAACCTGAGACAGGTCAGTCCAAAATAAACGAAGCTACCAAATAAGATAATAATTTCCCCCTAGTGAGACTTAAATGAGTTTAGATCCAAAGAGTTGACCAAGACATATTTATGTTTAGATCAATGCAAGATCGTATAGCAGAAAAGATCTAAGGATAAACAGATGTCCATCTAATTCCCTAAACCAAATGAAAAACTTAAATTGCACGAAGTCCTTTTTATCTTTCATTATTGACTGTCAAGGTATCCAAGTTTGAGATCTTCTGCCAAAATCCTCATAGTAATAACCTAGTACTTGCTTCAAAATGTATTTATTAACTCAGATTAATCATGAGTCATTAGGAAAAAGACACTTCATACAAAGAAGTTAATTAAGCAATTAACTTCAAAAGATTTGAATTCTGAGCAAAAAGGAACTTTAAAATTAAAAATTCTAACGCAGCAATTTCTTATCATCTTCACATTCTTAGAGGAAGAGTATGGGGGAGGGAAGCAATACCTGACTATAAAAATTCAGGACCTCTTCAAATTTCAAGTATAGATTTCAAAGGTCCAAGCTTCTGAGATATTCATAATCCTGTAATGTCACTATTAACTTGAAAGAGGAGAAGCTGGCATTTAAAACACTCACTGCAGGCCCTGGCCAGGTCAAGGGTATCCAACCCATGGCGGGTGGGCCACACTGCCCAACACGAAATCATAAATTTACTTACAACATTATGAAATTTTTTTGTTTTTGTTGGTGTTCACGTATTTAATGTGTGGCTCAAGACAACTCTTCTTCTAGTATGGCCCAGAGACACACCCCTGGCCCAGAGACACAGCCCAAAAGGTTGGACGCCCCTGGTTAAGAACACTGTCAGGATACGATGAGGTTTCGGGTTCGATCCTCAGTAAGAGCACATACAAGATCAAACAATGAATGCATACACAAGTGGGACAGCAAATGGATATTTCTCCGCCCCTCTCCCCCCTTCTTCTCTAAAAATCAATTTAAAAAAATCAAAACATTCATTGCACCTATTTTAGGTTTAAAGGCTGAAGACTGATTACATCTGTTAAAACTGTCGTTCAGCTTTTCCCAGACAATTATCTGTAACACCCAATCAGACAAACTGTGGGGGAAAGAAAGCAAAAAGGTAAAGTGTGTTTTAAAACCAAGCACTGAAGTACCCTGCTCTCACTGATCTGAGGTTGTAATGAATCAAATTTCACTTTTCAGTTCACGATTATGTCTGCTTCTCCTTGTTGCCTGGCACTTGCCAACAAAGCAGAGGGCCTGGGCAGGGTCAGTCCCTGCGACAAGGCAACAACAAAAGGTAATCCAAAAGAAATATTTTAAAGCGAGCCAAACTTTTAATTAGAAAACATTCTATTTTTATGTCCCATATACTGAAATAAACATTACAGAACTGTAAGTCTGGCAATGATGCAGCTGATAGTTACTCTGAAGACGACCACTTCATATTTCTTTCAAACAACTCTCAATAAATAACAAGACCTGCTTAGTCATAGTCAAATTCGTGTATTAGGTTACTCTTAAGGGAGTTGAGGTCTCATTAAATAGCAAGGAGTCAATTGGCTAATCTGTAATTCGATGCACTCCGTAATCCTAAACTTAATATTTGAAAAGAACTTTTAGTGCTATACAACTGGAACTCTGCAAAATTTCCTGATAATAATGGATGACATTTTGATTTGACATGCTTCCATAGCGATTCCTTCAATTCTTTAGGCTCTTGAACTTGGAAATTAAATCACTCTCCATGGCTGTCATGATGTGGGTTCTATCAACAACATAAAGAAAAAAACGGTGTTTTAAGTGAATCGAAATTGACGCCTCACTTCTATTCAGTCTGTATTGCTCTACGACACAGATACATTCTATCGTGATGCTGACAAGAAAAATCGTGACCCAAAAACCCAAACCTGAAGTATCCATTAAAAAGGGAACCAAAGCAGGTGAAAGTCGTGTTCCTTTTTAACAGCTGTACACGTTTAGTTTTTCAGTGTAAGGGTTCCTAAAAGTTACACCCTGTTACTATGGTCCCTGCTTTATAACAGTTGTTTCACCAATTCCAGGCTGTAGCCAAAATAATAGAAATATTCCAGAGGAGCAGGCAGCTACCTGCAAAGATTCGGCCCCAGCCCGGCTGGCAAGAGAACCAGTGACTAGTGACGCCAGACACGAGAAAGGATGAGAACTCGAGTCAAGCACTCCCCGGACTGTCACCGCCACGCTCCCTCCGCCACCGAAACACGAGCACAGGCCCACGCTCACGACAGCCAAGGGCCGACCTCCACAACAAGCTCCGTCGCCTAAGCTCTGGGTCCCCAAGGCCCGCAGACCCGACACCAAGAGAAGCCCCAGGCCGCAGCCTGGGCCCTGCAGCCAAGCTCGCCCACAGAAAAGGCCCAACCCTGAGCTTGGCCCGCAGCTTCTCCCGCCCGCCCCGGCGCCCATGCGGCGTCGCAAACGACGCTAAACCAAAGGAGGCCTCGCCGAGTGAACAGGCAGGGCGGGAGAACGGGGCCCGCGGGTAGTTCCTGGAGAACCGGGTCTGAAACGGGTTGGACCGGGCCTGAGAGCAGGGAACGCCCAGGTGCCTCCTGCCTCCGGCAGGCCAAAGCCGCAGCGGTGCGGCCGCCAGCTCGCAACTCGCGGACCCACCGCCTATTCCAGCTCTATCTGCAGCTACTCACGGTGCTCCGTAGAGAGCGGGCCGGAGGCTGACGAGAGCGGCGGAGCGTCCGCAGACAAAACAAGAGAAGGCGGAGAACAAGGTCCCTTCAGCAGCGCGCCGCAGCGTCGGCTTTTATAAGAGCGGCGCAGGCGTCAAGGACCCGGGACCGGGGGCGTCACAGAGCCGGCGGGGCTGACCGCGGAGTTCGCCTGACGGCAGGTGGAGGACGGGGAGCGGCCTCGGGGCGCCAGAGGGGCGGGGCCGGGCGCAGACTCCGCGGGCGCGGTGAGGGGGACGGGGCGGGGCTTGATTTTCACCTCCGTCCTCGAAAGCGGGACTCGCAATTCTCAGAGGAAACGGGAAACTGAACGGCGGGCTACGCTACCTGCCAGGGTCTTTCAGGCAGGGGCTGCCCTAAGCGGAATTGAAGACCCCAGTCCTGAAAAGCCTAGAAACTGCTAGTGTGTGTGGAGCACGGCGGGAGGGGATTGGGGGTACGGCGGTTCTCCTTTCAAAATGGGAAAACTAGGACTCACAGAAGTAAGGCCGATGGCCATTGCTGTCGCCTCTGAAATTATGCCCAGGGCCTCAGTGCCGTCCGCTGACCCTAACATGACTTAGCTCCCCGTCCACAGTAACCCAAGAAGTGAAATAGCAATACCCCTTTTCTCCTTTAAATGTGAGGGAACAAGTTCCGAACGGTTCCGTGGCACAGCCAGTGAGTGATCTTTACAACACAGTTGGGTGCACTTAACCTTTATTTCCTACCGTCTACTTCTGTCGAGGCCTCCAGGCCCAAAATAACCACGGTTGCAGGGAAACCCCAAGTCTAGAGAAGAGGCCTCCCTCTGGCAGTGGATATCCATGCATCGAGGAAAGGAGTGTTGAGCCCGTGTGTGCCGGGGCACAAGGTTGAGGCTCTGCAGTGAACCAGCCAGTTAGCCAGGGTCCAGAACTCTTCTATAAGGTGCTCCCTGAAGGCTGTGATAGGGCGCATAGGATGAAGCCAACCCTAAAGGAAAAGGGTGGGTCTGAACCCCGGACCCCCACCCCACCCCACCCCCGGCGGGTGACTTTCTTTACCTGGCTCTGCCCTGCTCTGTTTAGGGAACATTACCACCCCTCCCTGGGAGACTCAGGCGCCAGGCTCACCTAACCAGCAGGCACATGATGTATTCCTGACGCCAGGAAGACAAAAGACACCTCCACACAAGGCTCTAAAGAAATCAGAGGCCTACAGTTCTGGGATGGGAATGAGCAGGGAGGCTGAGCAGCTTCTTGAGTTACCAGGTCTTTGTCTACGAGCAGGGGTATCCAGTATCTGCCAGGTGCCACAGCTGATGAAGGGAGATGAAAGGACCCGCGTCTCTCATGCTCTTTTTCCATCACACAGCCCTGCCCCACCCCGGGTGCTGAGCTTCAGGTCTCCGAGACAGGGCCCGCTGGGGCCCCTTGGCCCCGCCCGCGCATGGCATACAAAGTGGCGCCTTGTGAACTTTTTTTGAGCATCCTAAACAGAGCTGGTCAGGGCCAGGTCACACATCTAGCCTAAGTACCTAGCACAAGCTCTGGCACAAAGCAGGTGTATGTTTTTACAAATTTGCCCAGTATTAGAGATACTAATTTTTCGGGTTATTAAAAAATGATTTCTCTGTTTAAATTTTGCCTTAATGTAGTGCTATAAATAACGAGAACACTGAATTTCACAATTACCATTTATATAGTATTTTCTTTCTTTCACCTAAGTATGTAAATATTAATTAAATTAACTTAAAAGTTAATTCCAAAGGGTCGCCAGTTCGATTCCCAGTCAGAGCACATGCCTGGGTTGCAGGCCAGGTCCCCAGTAGGGGACACATGAGTGGCAACCACCCATTGATGTTTCTCTCCCACTCTTTCTCCTTCCTGTTCCCTCTCTCTAAAAATAAATAAATAAAAACATTTTTTAAAAAGTTAATTCCCACAAATTCCACTGAAATAAATGAAATAATAAATAATAGTGATATGAGATTGTCATAGCAAATATGTGGTTTGCATGCAATTATTTTTTTTCTTTAAGATTTTATTTATTTATTTGTAGAGAGGTAGAGGAAGGAAGACAGGGGAGGAACATTGATTGGTTGCCTCTCTCACCTGCCTCAATTCGGGATCAGGCCTGCAACCCAGGAATGTGCCCTGACTGGAATCGAACTGGCAGTCTTTCACTTTAAGAGACAATGCTCAACCAACCAAGCCACACTGGTCAGGGTTTTTTAGTACTATTATTAACTGCTTTATTTTTATGAATAAAGAAATTTTTCAAAGCAAAAAAAAAAAAAAGAGATGCTTGTTCTTAATATACAGATCTCATTTATTCACATATACTATTCTATGCATAGATTAGTTCAGGAAAAGTATACAAGAAATTGGAAGGGGAACTAGGTGACTGGGGGACAGGGTTTGGGTGATTTTTCACCTTATACCCTTTCTATCTTTAGGATTTCAATCCATATGAATGTATTACATATGTCAAAAATTTTTTTCTTCAGAAAATAAATTGGCATCAGGTCAACAAAAATTCAGATTCCTGGGTCGACTCTTGACATAATGAGTCAACTACCCTGAGGGCAGGTTTTTCTGCCTTTTAAACAAGTCTCCAAGTGATTTTTTAAAAATATATTTTATTGATTATGCCATACAGTTGTCCCATTTCCCCTTCTTCATTCCCCTCCACCCTGCACCCCCCCAACATTCCCCCTCTTTAGTTCATGTCCATGTGTCACAAGTCCTTTAGCTTCTACATCCCATACTATTCTTGCCCCCCCCCCGTCTATTTTCTGCCTACCATCTATGCTACTTATTCTCTGTACCTTCTCCCCCCTTCTCCTCCTACCACTCCCCTGTTGCTAACCCTCCATGTGATCTTCATTTCTATGGTTCTGTTTCTGTTCTAGTTGATTGCTTAGTTTGCTTTTGTTTTAGGTATGGTTGTTAATAATTGTGAGTTTGCTGTCCTTTCACTCTTCATGTTTTTTTTAACTTCTTTTTCTTAGGTAAGTCCCTTTAACATTTCATATAATAAGAGCTTGGTGATGATGAACTCTTTGAACTTGAACTTATCTGAGAAGCACTTTATCTGCCCTTCCATTCTAAATGAGAGCTTTGCAGGATAGATCAATCTTGGATGTAGGTCTTTGGATTTCATGACTTGGAATACTTCTTTCCAGCCCCTTCTTGCCTGTAAGGTCTCTTTTGAGAAATCCGCTGACAGTCTGATGGGAACTCCTTTGTAGGTAACTGTCCCCTTATCTCTTGCTGCTTCTAGGATTCTCTCCTTCATTTTAATCTTGGCTAATGTAATGATGATGTGCCTTAGTGTGTTCCTTCTTGGGTCCAACTTCTTTGGGACTCTCTGAGCTTCCTGGATTTCCTGGAAGTCTATTTCCTTTGCCAGATTGGGGAAGTTCTCCTTTATTATTTGTTCAAATAAGCTTTCCACTTGTCGCTATTCCTCTTCTCCTTCTAGTACCCCTATAATTTGGATGTTGGAACATTTAAAGATGTCCTGGAGGTTCCTAAGCCTCTCCTCATTTTTTGAATTCTTGCTTCTTCATTCTTTTCTGTTTGGTTGTTTCTTCCTCCCTTCTGGTCCACTCCATTGATATGAGTCCCAGTTTTGTGTCCATCAGTATTGGTCCCCTGTACACTTCCCTTCATTTCACTTAGTTTAGCTTTCATTTGTTCATCTAATTTGTGACTAAAATCAACCAGTTCTGTGAGCATCCTGATCACCAGTGTTTTGAACTGTGTATCCAATAGGTTGGCTAATTCTTTGTCGCTTAGAAGTATTGGCTCTGGGGCTTTGAGCTGTTCTTCTGCTTGAGCCATAATGTTTTGGTTTGTTTGCCCCTGTTATGTGTGAGGGGCAGAGCCTAGGTGTTCACTAGAGTGGGTCTACCCAGTCACTGGGTGGGGACTGGGGACAGGGTCCAAGAGGGAGCAAAGGCATTTGTTGGGCTCTCTCTCGAATTTCGGGCCCTTCTGCCACTTCCCACAAGCAAATTGGGCCCTCCTGGTGCTGATTCCCAGGTGGGTGGGCTTGTGTATGTTCTAGGCCCCTGTGGGTCTCCCCACCGAACTTTCCTATGAGGCTGGGTGTCTCTCCCGGCACCTCAGCCCCTGAAAGTTTTTCCAATCGGTGCTTTTAGGCCTTATTTCCTGTTGCTGGGGCCCTGGGTTGTGCGGTCTGTCTGACTGACCATTTTTAAACCTGCCTGGTTTATCTGCACACAAATGTGTGTCCACAGTCAGCCATCTGTCTTGCATGCCTCACTGGGTTTGCTCATTTCCTCCCCACCCCTGGGTCCGCCAACCACTGCCTCTTCCTGCCAGGACCCCTCTCCGCCTGCCGCCAACTCTGCCCCTCTTATGGGTCTGGATGAATGGTTCCTTGTTGTTGGACTTTGGTACAGTTCAATTTTCTGTCTGTTTTGGTTGTGCTTTTGTTTCTACATCTTTGTTAAATCTTGGTTGTGCATCCTTAAATTTGGTTGTGCAAGAAGGCACAGTATTTCCACCTATGCCTTCATCTTGGCCGGAATTCCCCAAGTGATTTTTTAAAAAATATTTTATTGATTGTTTTTTTTTTAAGATTTTATTTATTTTTAGAAGGGAAGGGGAGAAGGAGAGAAACATCAATGTATGGTTGCCTTTCGTGTGTCCCCTGCTGGGAACTGCCTGCAGGGAACTAGCCTGCAACCCAGGCATGTGTGGTTTGCAGGCCCGCGCTCAATCCACTGAGCTACACCAGCCAGGGCTTTATTGATTGTTCTGATATAGTTGTCCCAATTTTTCACTTTTGCCCCTCCCACCCCCTACTTCCCACTTTCCTCAGGCAATCCCCTGCCTTTGTTTATGTCCATGGATCAGGAGTATAAGTTCTCTGACTATGCTATTTCCTATGTTGTACTTTAAATCCCCATGGCTATTCTGTGACTATCAATTTATACTTCTTTTTTTTCAGATTAAAAAAAAGATTTTATTTATTTATTTTTAGAGAGAGGGGAAGGGAGGAAGGAAGAGAAAGAGAGAAACATGCGTGTACAAGAGATACGTCAATCAGCCGCCTCTCACATGTCCCTTACTAGGGATCTGGCCCTGACTGGGAATCTA